TCGCCCTTGAAGACCTGCTTGAAGTACCCTGGCTGTTGACTTGAGGCTTCGAGCGCTGCATCCGAAGTCCTGAATAAATGGAGTCATTGGCTTAGGTGCTTAGGTGTTGGGCCAGGGCTGCACTTGAGCCAATCCAAGGGTAAAAGACCCCTAGGTATATACCCTTATAATATAGCTATACCCATTATATAGCCCATTATAGGGTAGGGGTCCTCATTAAGGGTCCCTCTTTTTCCCCTTTGAGCCAATGTGAAATCAAAGGTCTGGCCCGGCGAAGTCGCACCTTGGCTACTCCTGGGCAGATTGAATCGAGCAGAAGATGAACGAGAAACGGCTCCACGCAACAAGAGCAAGAGTAAGAGTGACAATGCCACTAACAATAGCGATAGCAATAGCCGGAATGGGAATAGCAACGGCAACAACAACAAGAAGCAGCAACGTAGTAGTAGTAGTACTACTACTACTACTACTACTACTACTACTACTACTACTACTACTACTCCTGCTGCTGCTGCTGCTACTACTACTACTACTACTACTACTACTAGTACTACTACTACTACTACTACTACTACTACTACTACTGCTGCTACTACTACTACTACTACAACTACTACTACTACTACTACTACTACTACTACTACTACTACTACTACTACTACTACTACTACTACTACTACTACTACTACTACTACGACGACTACCGTACGGCTACGACTGCGACGACCGACTGCGAGTGAGATTTCGACGACCATGACGACGCCTACTAGAATCTTGAATAGCAGCTGCTACTATTGTTACTGCTACTGCTGCTGCGGCTGCTGCTACTGCTACTACCACTACTGCTGCTACCCCTACTGCTACTGCTACTGCCAGGGTTGTTGCTACTGCTCCTGCTGCTGCTGCAACTGCTACTGCTACTAATTCTACTACTTTGGCTGCTACCATTACTACCACGTCCACTATACTGCCCAAGGCCCATTACTTTCGCTACTGTTACTGCGGCTGCTACTATTCTTACGGCTAGGGCTACTGCTGCTGCTGCTGCTACTGCTACTACGACTACTGCTACCAGGACAAGGACTTCCACGACTTTTGCTGTTGCTGCTGCTTCTACGAATGTGCCTACAAGAATAACCTGACAAAAGTCATTGCGTCCGTAATGACAATCGCCGTACTGGCTACAATGTCTCGACGGGCTGCTTTGGAAACACCTTTCCAGTCCAGGTGCCTGCAGATGGCGAGCTTTCCGGCTGGACCGTCGATGGTACCTCGGTTCATTGATTTTCGGCTCCAGGCATGTGTTGCTTCAGGTTTCTCTTAAATTCATGCGGCCTCAAAGGATTTCTAGGCTTCGGTGCCAAGGAATCTTCAAGGCCAAGGTCTTTGCGTACGTCTCGGGTTCGGGAAGTATATAGTATAAGGGTTTATGTGGCCACACGCTCCGTGGCCCGGTCCCTCTGCCCACACTGTGGGGTGATTGTGGGGTGTTGCGGTTTACTGTACTTGTAGGGTTTAGCTACAGCTTTTGAGTTTTGGGGTTTTGGGTTTCGGGTTAAATGATATGATATGACAGACTTCGAGTCGACAAGGGCTTAGGTTTGGGGTAGGTTCGTTAGGCTTGACGCTTTATGTTCTGCTTTAGGCTGAGAGCCTGCATTAGTACAGTCAGGGTATACTGCTTGTGTAGGACTTGTGTAAGATCCCGGCCTTCTCTGTGACCCCTGGCGCCCGTCCAACAGCACCCCACCCCCCTCCGCACACGCCACCCCTCCGCCCAGCCCTTGCAAGACCATACCAATGGCGCCGGGAACTGACCATGTAGAATTTGCGGGTTAGAGTTGCAGGATTCTGCAGTCTAGCGCCGTGCTTTTTTTCCTCGTGTGCTTGTGTCAGAGCATGTTCTTTCGCTTACCACTCTCACTCCCCCTTCCCATTTGGGCTTTGCCAGGTTGTTGCTCTCGGTTCTCGGGCTGATATTTCCAACGACTTTGACAATGAGAGCTTGTGGGGGTGGGGAGGGGGGTGATCGTAGCGTTCGCGAAGTTGGGGTGTGTGAAGCTCGGCCAGGCAAGCTCGGGTGCAAGATTGTTCCTGCAAAACCCAGAGGGAAAGACCAGTAAATTCGCCTGCCAGCAAAAGTCTTCCATGCCGGAATTAAGATCCCTAAACCCCTTCTAGCTGTCAAACCCCTAATGAAGACAACGACACCCAATCAACAACCCCAAAGCCCTAAAGCCTATTATAACCTATCAACCCAAGGCCCTGGACCCTAAACCCTAACCCGTAAACCCTAAACCCAAGGCCCTTTAGGCCCTAAACCCTAACCCGTAAACCCTAAACCCTAAACCCAAGGCCCTTTAGGCCCTAAACCCTATAGGCCCCGTGGGCTTTCTAAACGCAGGCGGCCTCGTCTCGGCTGCGTTTGACGAATCGCTGCTGACAGGCGAGAGTCGAGCCCTGGCTGAAAGAACCGGTTTAGGGTTTAGGGCGTCTCGCCGCGCACCGGCAGTATTTTCTATGTGGGATGGCGCCCGGTTTGTGGGGAAAGCAGCTGGCTGGCTTGCGGTTTGAGGATTTGGGGGTTAAGGAACTGGAGCTTTAGGCCTGGATGCAAAAAAAGGAACTGGAGCCTCAACATTTGGGCTGGGAGGTCTATAAGAGTTGAAGGCCCGAATCTACCGATTCAACAGACTCACTTCCGATCTTATGGATCAGGCTGTCAGTTGGCCTCGTAGTTCGGCGAGAAGCCAAACTGCACCGGATTGCCTGCGAGGGCCCGCTGTCCAAGTACATGTGATCCTGAAGGCTTGAGACGCCCGCCGCCAGTAATGTAGGAACCTCATCAAGAAACCTTGGGCCTTTATTGGGGTTCCTTATATGAGTCCCTTTTCGAGAGTAATGTAGGAACCTTATTAAGAGACCTGGTGCCTTTACTGGGGTTCCTTGTATGCATCCTATACTATTTTGGTGTTACAGGCCCAGGGTTGCTTAATCAGGTTCCGACACTTTTTTGAGATTACCTTATTGCTGTCTTCTTCATATGAACCACAAAAAGGAACTACTATGCAGCCTATCCTATGCCTGTGGGTATACAGTGAGTCTTGATGAGCCCTGGGGAAGTCCTGAGCTCGAAGATCTGCAAAGAAGGCCCCTGCAAATACTATGGGGGCCTAACTGATTACCGATGCTATTTGGGGGTTCCTTATTATACCTATAGTATCATGGTATCATGGGCCCCAAAACCCTGTACTAATTATTAAGGCCCCTCGTTTTCCATCTGGCAAGGCCCTGTGCCCAAGGCTGCCGGCGACACGCTGATAGGCCGCGGACTTTCCTTTCGGCTGTGCTCCCTCGTTTGGTCCAAGTGAGTCTTGATCGGAGGACCCTTCGGGCTCAAGGTATGTTTGCCTCATGTCTCCGCCTGCTCGACGGCTTTTGCCTGCCACTTTCGGGTACATGTGACATGCGCACAGCTAGGTACCGAAACCCCAAGCCCTGATCCTTGAGGTTGAATCCTGGCTCAGTCTCGCATCAGCCGCAGTCTCGCAGGTGGCAGCCGGTTGGTCACCGGCCGTGCTGTGCGCCTCCGAGCCAAGCGGGTGGGCAGTGGTACAGCTTTGCAGCAAATCGTGGTGCCTTGGCCGTGAATGTCTTTGCGGAGTTTTTTTGTCCCTTCTGTTTCAGACGGCCTCGTTTCTGATTGATAGAGCTGTTCTGCAACAGCATCGTGACGGGTGGGAAGGTTGGCCCAAGGTTTGACTCTCCCCGCACAGAGGGTATGCTACTGTCTTTGTCGAGGCTTTGCCCTTCTAACCCGGTAAAGCTATCGATGACTGTGGCTGAGGTCTCATGACGTGAGCACCCAAAATGCGCCACGTTTCCGTGCGTGACTACTGGTTCATAGAGGCTGTAAGATACCGTGCTGTGACTAGCGGCGGCAAAAAAAGTGCTAGACCTCCAGCCAACCCCGAGTCCCCGAGTTGCAAACCCACGTACTCACGGCACTTCACATGGAAACCTGTCGCAAGCCCTTCTGCTTGATCCGGCAGCCGGGACGTAGACTTGAAACCCTATAAGCTCCAAACATTGAAGCCCCAAATCCCAGAACCTCGTCTTACTACAGCCTCCTCTCCGCCCTACACAAAACCCTCAGAGCTCTTTCGCTTCGCCTCAGTCCCTCGTGGAACGCGCTGCGGCCTCCGCAGGGGCGGCTCCAGCTCAGCGCTTGGCGGATGCGGCCGCGCGCTTCTTGCCACGATGTCAGCTGAAGGACCACTGCCTTTTTGGGGTGTTTTGGGTTTAAGTCCAAGTTTGGACTTTAGAGCTTGGCGCCCTAACCTTTTTTCAGGTTCGACTGGGATGTGTTTGGGGCCTTGTAGATGGGGCTTTCCAAATAAAGGTAAATGCATCACCCATTGTATTAGCTCCAACTCCACGGCTGTCACGCGGAACATGCTCCAGGAGTGGTGCAGGACAGCGACTATGATAGTAACAATACGAGCACGGCAGCATTGTCGTTGGAGCTGAACTGTGCTTGCTGCGTTCGAGAACAGGGTCTTGATAGGCTGCTGTATTTTGCGTTTTCTTTTCTCAGAGCGTGCAGGCTACTTGTAGCAGCGTTCAAAGTAACGCTCGCAGCATGCTGCACTCGATGTGCAAACCGCCAAATGCAGATCTACATCCCAGAGTATAATGTGTGCCAGGGCCTCGGACAAATCTCAATGTTTGGCCTTCCTCATGCCTTTCAACAAACCCAAACCCTGAACCCACGACCTGTATCATGCCGAAATAACCGACTGCCAACAGGTGAATAAAGGAGCCTGAGCCATTGATAGTCCGTATTACGTCGAATAGCAGGACGACCCAAAATCATGTTCCTACCCCCCACCCCCACAAGCACACACGCGTCGTGCCAAACTCAGTAATTTCCACATATGTAATTCCACAGTGTTCGTGTGAGCTGTATAAAGCAGTCGAAATAGGCTGTCTGAACATGCATGGCTGCTTTGCTCGGCGATGCGGGCTTTTCCGCTGGCCTGGCCGCGGTCCCTCGGCGGCCGCAGCGCAATGCACGCACAGGCGTGGGAAGCTACTGGTACTGCCAACATCACGTGGAGGAAGACTGCCATTGCTAGTATAGCTGCGAAACACACTTCGTTGTGAATTCCAATGCATGAGCCTCATGTTGGCTTTGAACCCCGCCAGCACTTGGGGGCAAGAACATTGGCATGTCTCTGAACGCAGTCAGGAAGCAGTTTCACCCCTGGGCTCAAAATCTCCAAGGATCGTAGAGGTTGAAAGGCTTACTGGGTGCAGATCTATAGAGTTAGAGGTGAGTTTTACAAGCTTATACTGAATGAAGATCTAGAGTCTAGAGTCGAGCCAGGGTTGAGGAGAACACCCTGAGGCCCTGGGCCCGAAAGAAAGTTTAAGTTCGTGTTCGAAGGTGACAAGAACAACATCTACATCATCGGACATGCTGCTTTTGGCCAGGGGCTCATGCAGCTGGAATCTTGTCCGCCGAGCTCGTTGTAACTTGAGGTTACAAGCGCTAAGACCGAATACTGTACAGAGAGCACTGCCGCCGAGCCGGCTGATTCATGGTAATTTAAGTCGGACGCGCGCCTTTGATTCTACGCTTCGTGTCCAACGAAAAATACCATTTTGCAGCACTAGTGTTTGTCTCGGACGTTAGATCTGGGAGCAGGAGTTGTGGAGCAGTTATTGTGCTCGGGAGTTGTCCCACGTCGAAGTCCTCTACAGGCTTTAGCGCTTCCGGTCTGGTCGGAACCGACCATGTCCCTCACGAACAGAGAGGCCAGTTTTCGTCCCAGTTCGTAGTTCGGAAAAGGCAGCTAAACTGCCGGTGGCATGTTGCAGGCTTGTCGGAGCGACACTCGAGTGTCGTGCTGTTACTGTTAGCAGATGTGCATACGATTGTACATATGTTCGTGTCTATGTCTATTATGTCTACATCCAAGCTTTTATCCTGATATCTATCTATACCTGTATCCATATACAGAAGTAGTAAGTATATTAACTAGTTAGACAACTTAAAGAATTATGCTCACATACAAACATATATTTAAACATATGCATGCCCATCTTTTTGCCACACCTACCTGCGCCTGCAACTGTACCCAGAGGTCCAGGTGGGAGTGTCCGAAAATTAGGGGTACCTTTTTCTGGGGTCCTTATAAAACTCCCATGTCTACATTGGTTCTTGCTTGAGCTGAGGAGCGGTACGAGTTCGAGGACTGCAGCGTTCTGTCAATGCAACGGCAAGGGTTCGATTGACATCTACTGACGTCTATAGTTACTACGGTTTAAGCTTCTATTAGTTAATACGGTCTAGGGTTTAGGGAGTGTCGTCTAGGATCCCGACTGAGCTTCTTGACCTTCTGTACAGAACCTCACTTGCGTATAGAATGCATCTTCTGGTAACATAGATAATGTCATTGCAATTGTGGGCGAGTCTGTTCTCCTTGTATTCAGCAAGTGTAAAGACGACTCGCTCGGACCGGGCTGCTGGACAACGAGGCCTGCTGCAAAAAGGGAGTGTCGTCTGCGAGTTTCGTGGGCGCTGGCCGGAACGTCAGTCCGTGCTGAAAATGGAGTGTCGGATATAGTTCTCTACGTATATCTTGGTAACGATGCGTTGTTGTCCGGGCCGCCGTCTTTGGCGAGAAGCCACTCCGCGAGGATGCGGCCACTTCTCTGGAGGGCGCTTGGACCGTGTGGAAGGACCGTGGCTTTGTGTGTCGGTTAATTGTGGGTTTGAGGGTGCAAAGTTTCAAGGTGCGCAGGACGGCAAACATCCGAGGCTGCAAGCGTACTGGCGTTGGTGCAAGTTTTTGGAGCATGCAGCTCCGCTCATGCGCACGCGCATGTAGTGCACCACACGCCACGAAATCGAAGGCGAGACACCAAAAACCACGCCAAACCAGCACATGCACGTGAACAATCAAGCCCACACACGCACACGCATAAACATATCCACATCTGCATGTATCTGTGCATATGTTTGCATGCTTGTGCGCACACACACACACACATGTGCACAGAGAGAGGCAGCTATATAGTATACGCATGCTGTGTATTACACCCGCACTGGGGCTAACCCCATGCCTGCTGCTTATGTGCTTATACATCAGACCGTGGGCAAGTGCACAGACAGCTGTGTACAACATTCCTGCTCTCCTGGTTCATGTCTTCTTCGCTTGTCTGTCTGTGGCCACAAAATGTTTCTAGAAACAACTATTGCTGCACAATGGCGGGCATTTTGTCCGACTTCACGGCTTGTGTGTAGTCCACTTGAGAGGACGTCTTTCTCGGAGCACCAACGAAGCCGAGACTCTGTCGAATGGCGGGAGAGCTTTGAGGATACTACAAAGGAAGGTTGCAGTAAGAAGGATTTCGAGCTTAGGACCTGTAAGGATTGTTATCAGGCTTCCTGCAGAAGGAGCACAGCTACCAGTTACCAGTGAACGGTTCAAGGTTTAGGTGCGCATGAGGAGGGCCAAGCAGAATTTACTTAGTTCCAGAGATCTGGGTGCATTCAACGGGGTTGCATCTGGGACTGTCAACCTGCATCGTCGTTTGCGAGGCTGTCTTCTGGTATGCGAAGTTTACCGCAGAGACCGAAACGCGAACCACCTGGTTGGTATTATTATAGTATAGGGTTATATATAGTATTATTATGGTATAATTGCATTCGGGCGAGCTCGGGGCTTGAGGATCTCTTCCGACTCTACCTGCATGTTGTCAAAACTAGGGTCCCTTTTTGGGTCCCTGTTACAATACGGCACCTATTATTCAGGGGACCCAAAAAAGGGACCCTAATTTTGACAACCACCCAGACCTGACTCAGGATGCCAATCGATCCAGCGAGCTCAGATGAGGAGGAGGCACGGGCGCTTGTCAAAGTCTGGGGGCTTGCTCTGGAGGCCTCAGGCTCTAAGCTGTCGAAGATGGGTTGCTGGGCTTTTGCACTGAGGGGGTTTACATGAACCTGTGCGGTTACTGTAGGGTTCCCCCTTTTATTGAACGGAGTCATAGAACAGACAGTCACTGCAGCCATTGGCCCAGGGTGCCTTCAGGGAGTTATGGGTCATGGGTTTGATTTCGTATTTCTCAGTCGTGGCCATAGGTTTCTGTGACGACTCCCGGGTCCGACGATATGAAGCAAACATTGTGGACATGTTGGGTTTCTTTGTTTCTGGTAAGGTCGACATGAATATAGAACCTTAACATGTCCCTGAACTATGAACTCCTGAATTGACTTAAGAGGGTCCTTCTTTCCAAGAACAGCCTGTGAACCCTAGAGTACAACCAGCATTCCATGTAGAGCGTTCAAAGTCCTCCGGGAGCTGGACCTGGCCTGCCAGAATAGTCAGCTTATCATGACACTGGTCGCCATAACGCAGGTAATACTCATCCCAAGAAACATATGTAATAAGAACGATAAAAAGTAACAAGGGCAGTACCTCACTACACTTGCTAGTGTTACCATTGCTATCACGGTTGGTGGCAATTGTATTGTTATTTGTATTAGTATTGTTATTGGTATTATTATTAGTATTATTATTATTATTAGTAGTAGTAGTAGCATTAGTATTTTTATCATTATTGTTATTGTTATGACCTTGCCTGTCACAGGAGTCAGAGTCGAGCAGCAGCGAGTCTGAGTCCGAGGCAGTGGAGCTCGAAAGTAACTGTGAGGACGACGCAGAGCTTACATACACACCATAGATTCTGTTCTTTAAAAAGACATTCATACATGTCAGGCAGATGCATAAAGCACAAAGTATCCATATTTATGCATCTATATGGTTATATATACACATATAGATATACATTTTTTATATGTGCTGTTATGAAAAAACTAGTATGTACTGTTATGTACATCCATTATGTCCATATGTGTGTATGTATGTGTATATGTATGTGTGTAGGTCGAGTCTATATGTGCATACATAGGGCGAGAGGCTCAGGGTCTGTGGAGCCTAGGTTCCAAGTGTTTTCGGATGTTGTTTTTTGCGCTGTCGCGCGCAATTCATTGCCTGGCCATGGCAGCTTGCACTGCGGAGCTTCGCAGGTTTCGTGAAGCACATACCAGACTTAGTGCGGAAGTTTCAAACCGGTTGGCGGTGTGAAGTTCGTAATTAGGTCGCAATAGTTGGGTCATGAAGACACACTGGAAACCATAAGACAATGGGCTTGGGGGGTTGTGGCATGGGGCATCCTTCCAGGTGAGCAAGCGTCGCTGCGCAAAGTATCGAGAGATACCACAGCGGAAACTTCGTGTCCTGACATCGTAACAACCCGGGATGGCATGTATAGCAGAAGCGCATGCTAGATGCACTGCGACCTAGTTCAACCTTTGTGTGAGTTCCTCCGCCTGTTTGTCCCTCTCTCTCGTTTTCCCTTCCTCCCTGTTGTTCCTCTCTCTCTCTCTGGCTTCTGCCTTTTGTCTTTTCTCGCTTCCCTCGCTTGTTCTCTCTCTCTCTCTCTCTCTCTCTCTCTCGCGCTCGCTGTGTCGATAGGCAGAGTGACCGATGGGTAGGTGGGCCGGGAGACAGGGAAGGCGAGACCAACTCGTGAGACATCGAAGTGGCTGAAATCCTCAAAGCGCTAATCAACTGTAGACAGCAGCTGTGAACCCTTGAACCCTAACCTCGACTGCTTCAGAACATTACGACCGTCAGAACTCATAGCGCCTACGCCCTGACCTTCCTCCCCGAACCTCCAAAGAAAGAGTAGCAGCAAACAAGACCCCTAAAACCCTAAACCCGATCGCGTATTACCTAGACCAAGCCGGCCTTCATCATCTAATCAATGCATTCGTATTTGGTCCTCCCCATCCTGACCTTGACCCCTAAAGTGATCTGCAGTTGTCTATTCCCAGCGTCCTATGAGTCATGCATTTTGCTTTACGGAAAGTAGGATCCTGGGAGGGGACAGGTCTGCCAGGGCACAGTTACTTTGTATGCTGCCAGATGAATCGTTGGTTGTACTCTGACTATCCCCCCTAGTGGAGTTTCACTCATCAGACTCCGTACCACATGCCTCGCCTGGATTGTCCGAGTGTGAGCGCCGAAGACCCTAAACCGTACTTTTGGTTAGTAGGGAATGGAGGAATGGGGTACAATTATAACTACTATCACTACCCTTCTTCCATTCCCTGCTAACCAACTGTAAGTTATAGGATTATTAAGGCCCCTATATTATAGTACCCTTATAGATCCCTTATAGTAACCCTTATAGTCCCCTTTAAAAGGCCCCTACTAACCAAAACTAACCATTATGGTAGTTATAGTAGCCCTTATAGACACCCTTTATCAAGGGTAACAAACCTGACACGCCCTGGAGACCGACTCCAGCTCGGATCACCTGCCGGAGCGTCCGCGGCGTATTGGTGCGAACGAGGCTGGTGAAAGAGGGCACAGTTCTCACCTTAGGTTACTAGGGAATGGAAGAATGGTAGTAATAGTAGTTATTATTGTTGTACCCCATTCCTCCATTCCCTACTAACCAAAGGCAACCAAAGGTAAGAGTTGGAGGGTTTACGAAGTCTTTTATAGGGACTGTCGGGGTGCAGGGTTTACGGTTTCAGAGACCGCAGCCTTCGAGGTTCGCCCAATGCTGAGATTACGAAGATCTCCCATGAAACGTGGTTTTCGTTTCTTCTCGCAGAGTGGTTGCCCTAGCTTGATTTGGCTTGCGGGCTACGTCAGAGCTGCAAGGCTGCCGCGAAAGCTTTCTTCAAGGCGAAGAGCTGCAGCAATGAAGGCTGGTGCTGGATTGACAGGACATCATTCAGGGACTGGAGAGACATTGGACCCATGTCTCACTTTTTCTCTGCTGTTTGGCATCATGTGTGGACAGAAGCCCATAGGCCTCAACTTTAAGCCCTAAACCCGACAGCACACGCGAGGCGCGGGGGTTGGTGCCACGTTCGCACCCGCTGGCCCTGCCAGGAAGACTTCATCAGGCTCAGGCGGTCTATCTTATCTTGACCCGCATACACATAGTAACCCTCATACTACATGTTATACTAGTCTGTATAGTATTCCTTCTAGTCAAAGTCACCTTCATTAAGCCCTTGTCTTAACCCACCCGCATCGTAATCCTTCTAATCACCGCAACCCGCCCTCATATTGATCTCTGTGGTAACCCTAAACTCTGAACCACCCTGGCGCCGAAAGCAAGACCTCATGAAGCCGTGCCTGCCTACTGCGAGTGTGCGAGTATAGTAGTCGCTATTACCACCCGACCGCTTCGTAACGTAGGGGCCTGAATAATCAGCATATTCTTCCTTAGGGCCGTAGGGTTCCTTATTTTAGCTATATAGTATAAAATACACCAAGCTCTATTCTAACTACTAAGGTCTCTGTATTATATTGTCCTTATAGTATCCCTTATAGTAACCCTTGAAAGGAGCCCTATTCAAAATATTATGAAGGGTCCTATATTATATTACCCTTAAAGTAGCCCCTTATAGACCCCTTTAAAGGAACCCAATTACAACTATTGAGGCCCCCTACTTAAAGGACCCTGGGACTTCGTAACTATAGGGTTATTAGTGGGGTAACTCTACTTGTAATTACTTATAACCCCAATTACGGGACTTATAACTATAGTTACTAAGTCCCATGATCCTCCCAAGTAGACCCTAAACCCTAAACCCTATAGATCCCTTTAAGGAGCCCTATAGATCCCTCTAAGTAAGTCCCATGATCCTCCAAGCTCCTTAGAAACCCCAGAGGCTCGGACGGCGGCTCCAAGCCACGAAGGCGCCGGCCTCCAAAAGGCTTTGCAGATGACGGCGAGCCTGCGCCGCCACCAGAGCAGGTGTCTTTAGGGTTTCGGTAAGTTTGGTGGGTCATTGTTCAGGGTGTCGGGGTTTAGGGTTGCACAAGTCCTGATGGAAAAAGGGTTGCAAGCCAGTTGCAAAAAGGGGTGTAGGGTTCATAGGGTTTTTCGTGGTGGGTTCAGTTGGCTTCGCGGCTGAGGGCGTTTGCCAGGTTCTCGGGTCGGATTGCATTGTTGGAGCATCTCTTCCCTTTCTAAAAATATCTAGGCCCAGCAGACTAGTGAGCCCTGCAGGAGGACCGGATGGGCGTATGGCCTCCGGTTCCCACCGTCGACATCTTCGCCGAAGCTCTGACGGATGCTCCCGTGCGAAGATGGGAGCCATTCTTGCCTACCCCCCAAACCCCTTCGTTTTCGGTTGTGGTGCACGTCAGTCCTCAAGGCTTCCTAGATCCGTAGGGTGAGATCTTACAGCTGAGAAGCTGTGAAGCAACGCTGTCGGTCAGAGACTGTAGTCGGAACGCAACTTACACTTCAAGCCTGTCAGTGGTCAAGGTAGGCGGGGATCAAAGCATCACCATGACAGCAAGTCAGTGAAGGAAGTATCCGTTCGATCCGCCGAAGTCTTCACGGTTTCAGCCGATGGTTGCCGACGTTTTGGATTACATATTACATGATACAGGTGGGGTTACCGTGGTGTTCCTTCAGCTGTTCCGGTTCCATCCCGTTTATTGATCAGTGCAGCCACCGGGTGGGCAGATGGCAGATGAAATGCCGATGATGTTAAGCACGACTTTGCCTTAAAGAGCCCCGTATATTTATATATATATATATATATATATATATACATATCTCTCTTATCCTATTACAAATCGCACCTGAGGCTTTGATCCTGCGGGTGACAAGAGCAACAGAGGAGGAGACTCCTCCACAGACGATGTGTGCTCAATGGCTTGTTTGCGATCCTGTTATGTCGAAGCTCTTTCTCTTCTCACCAATCCAAACTTTGATGTTCAAATGCGTAGTCTTGGTTTCATTAGCCACTGGCTGCTAACCGACTTTCCATGACATTCGTGTTGTTGCCGCTGTTTCTTCAGTTGTTACTTTTGCTACACTGGCTGCAGTTGCTGCTGCTGTTGCTGCGATTGTTGCTGCTGCTGCTGTTGCTGCGATTGTTGTTGGTGATGGTGAAGAAGAAGAAGTGTGTTTTACGATCGAGGTTGTTGTGATTGTAGTGGTTGCCGTGACATTCTTCTTGGTGATGGTAGTGATGATGATATGGATTTGGTGATGATTTTGATGATGATCATGATGATAATGCGGTGGCGGTCCCTGATGCTGCTGGGTCATGAACGACTTTCTTGTACCATTCCTTATCAACCCTATAAACCTCTATGACCTCTTAAACGCAAAGCCGAAAACAGCGCGAAGACGCATTTGCCGAAGGAGGCCTTGGCATGTGCCTTGGAGGTGCAGCAGCAGATCATGGCCACGGCAGGTGGGATGAGAGGTGTTAACGTGTGGGTTTAAAGTTTACAGGTTAGTTTAGGGCTTCATGGGTTCATGCTTCAAGGCTTCCGGGTCACAAAGGCCTGCAACCCTGTAGGCCGCAAGCCATAAAAGGGTCTACATTTGGAACGTCCCCTTCCAGAAGCGAACGCCGAACACGGCCCTGGCAAGGATTACGGGAGTCTTTGCGGCTTTTGGGTGTATATAGACGTTTAGAGTTTCAGGGGCTGGTTGGGTTTCGTTGTGCCTAGAGGTTATAGGTAAAGGGCTCGAGCGGATGAGAAGTAAACATTGTTCTCAGAAGGAGAAGTATTAAATACCGTATTGCGCCAAATCCAGTGTCCCAGCGCAGACTTACCTTGTTGTTGATAAATGCCCCAAGTTGTTTACCTTGTGAGCTTAAAACCCTTCCAGAGCATGACTGCTAAATCCTAGGTATATACCTGAACGCCTTATAGTAGCTTGTCGTGAGGCACGAACACTCTTTCGTCGAACTCTGTGCTGTATAGGTTGCTGTTTGACATACTCACCGCAAGGTTGCTGAGCATTACTGAGCTGCCGTAAGCCACCCCATGGCAGGTCAGGAGTCTCCGTCTGATGATGACGACGACGATGAGAGCGAGGACGAGGAGAACTATCGAAGCAAGCTTGGAGATTTGCGGTGTTAGAGCCTTGGGGTCTGGTGACTTTTAGTGTTTTTGAAGGGTTTTCGGCTTTCAGGTTTTAGGTTTTCGGGCTTTAAACAGGCTTCAGGATTGAAGGTCACGCAGAAATTCACAAACCTTCATTCAAGAATGAAAGGTAGTTCCAACTCCAACTTTGAAAGTCCACTTCGTTGAGAGGCCGCAGCCTCGGCTAGATAAGCCTGAACCGCCTGGATGAGAGACCAGAGAGAACAGCGCGTTTTCTGATGCACGGGTATGTGAGTCAGAAGGTGGTGAGATTATTTCCGCATGACAGCTGTAGACACCGACAGCGTTCCGCCTTGCTGTTGACGAGGAGCTCAGCACTGTTGCCTACACCCAGCGGGCTTACAAGCGCGATGTGCCTTACCACAATTGTGCCGATAAGCTGTGATTGAGCTAGGTAGGCTGGGGCTCGCGGTTCACTATCGCCCTTCCCAGTACACCGAGGAGTACCCGGAGCTGTGCAGCAGCAGCAAGCAACAGGAGCAGTGGCAGCAGATTGGGCCTCGCCAAAGAACTATCAACACACCAGCTTCGTAGTCAAAATCCGAACCCTCCCTGCAAAGTGCGGGCCATGCTCATAACCTCTAGTTCTGAGCTTGAAGGTGCAGATCATGATGAAAGAGCCATCAGAAGGGACGACTCCACAACCTTCCGGCGAATTCGCAAGCTCCAAGGACCTCTTTGGGACAATGGCGGGGCGGGGGAGGGGGGGGTTTAGGCTTTTTTGGGGCTTAGCCATGCTGAGGGCCTTTTAAGAGACAGCCTTTCCCTAAAAGGGGATGAGAGTCTGGGCTTTGGACATAAGGAGCAGTACCTCGGGTGCCCATACCAACCATTGTTTCTCTCGTGCGCAGCGTCTGCACGAGTTGTCTACTGTAGGCAGGCAGTTGCAGTAGCGATGGCTTGTCGCGTGAACGGGCCTAAGCTTGGACCCAAGCTGGGAGCAGACACACATCCAAGCAATTCAAGGTATGCCGATCGCAGTTTCCAGGGCGCCCGCAAAGTACAGCTTCTGCTGATGCGGGTGCCGGTGGTAGTGGTGGTGGTGGCGGTGGTACTAGTAGTGGTAGTAGTAGTCGTCGTCGTGGTCGTTGTCGCACTCACCAGTTCCTATACATAATGACGCTATAGACCGTTCAGTGCTGCTCAGGAGACCAAAACCTACGAGACTGCCGGGGCCAAACCCCAGCCCCTTGGGCTCAAATTCGGCCTTAGGAATTCGAACTCTTCAGGGTTGGAGCTTTGCGGGTCGTAGGGTTCTGCAGGCCAGTCCGTCATTCCGTGATGGCGGAAAAAGTACCAGTTGAGGCATGGATTTCTAGATTCTAGAGTGTTTGGTGCGCACAGGGCTTGTAGTTTACGATTAGGAGGGTTTTGGTATGTTTTGGTGTTCAGGTTGGCCGGCCACAAGTCTTTTAAGCCATGACGGTGCAAATGTTGTGGCCCGCTTGTACTCATCGGTTGCAGAGTACGTTCTTAGGCACTGCTTCGATTGGAGGGTCACAGCAGAATCGCATGTCCAGAATTGCAGACCAGACTGTTGCAGTCCTTAATGTGTAAGCGTCAAATCGAACCATGCAGTCGTGCCGCGGCTCGTCGTTTTAGCTGGTGTGGTTGAACATACAATCTTCTTACTGCCTCATCAACCTTTGCAGCCAGTATTCAATCACTGACCCTGTGAATTCAACTGCAGATCTACGCACTGACTTCGCGAATTGAACTGCATATCTCGACGAAAATGACGAAAGCAACTTGTGCGGCACAGGTTCCATCACTACCGCCGCTTGATGCGGGGCCTTTGCCACTGCTACGTGCGGCTCAGGCGGGAGTCACATATGCATGCTGTGCGCAACACTTGGCATAAATGTTTCAAGACGCCCCGGTACTCGTACATCCAACCCGTCAAAACGACTTCCCTTCCATGCTGCACCCTCACGCCCTCATGACACATGGAGCGGCCCAACAAGAAGAGGGTTACATCAGATCGCTGTATTTGACAATGATTGTGAGCTTAATTGAAGTGGACATTCACTGAAGCAGACCCATAACATGTACATGACATGGCAGGCGGTGGGTCGATCTCGACCGCTTCATTGAGGAGGCGCTTCCCTACTTCCAGGAAGTGCGGCGCTCCTGCTGCATAGTTCTGCCGTCGGTATGCAGGAATGCAAAATCAGTTACAGAATAATTGTAATTGGGTGTTTCAGTTTGTCAGCACGCAGCTGTTACGCATTCGGCCTTGGCTGTTTTGTGCCGTTGACGTTGTCGAACATATCCTCGAACACCCGAATTTCACACATATATCCTCAGCTTGGGGAAGCGGAGTCCAAGCCTGTCATTTGCTTGCACATGCTGCGTGTGACTAGACGGCTGAGACTACAACCGAGCGCTCCGAATCTATGGGGCCTCGCCCCCACTCCTCCATGTGCGGACTGTAAACGCGAAGACGCTAATATCACACACACACACACAACCTCAGTAACCTCAAGCTCTGCATGATCGTGCAGGAAACGTACAATCAGGGAAGGCCAGGGAATCCTAGCTTTCGCAACGTTGCTGCTTGTTGCCACTCCCCAACTGCTTCAGGCTTTGTTTGGACCCGATGCAAGTTCGTCCTGGAGTCCTGGGGATTTGGGAGTATGCTAAGATTCTAGGATCGAAACATGTTGTGCGCACAAAGCCTACAGTATTATTATCAGAAATTCGGGTTGAGGAGCCCAAGTGCTTTGGCAACGAAGCCTTCGTCTACAATCCTGGAAATACCCACATCTGTAGCCATAGCCCCTAGATCCTGAGTCTTAGGCTCTCTTCGACTCCAAAACCGCGGGCGCAATGTTTGCTCTTCAAGTCTTCATAAACAGCCCTGAACCGTAAACCGAGGAGCTTGCAGCGGAAAAAAGTTCCGCAGTTCCGCAACAAAGACCGCGAGGACCGGGTTTGTTTGCACATGTTGTTTGCTTGTTTGGGTGATGGCTTTCGTGCAGGCCCCAATATAAGAACTATCGAAGAAGTACAGACACACCTTTAGCCGTCTCCCAGCGGAGGCCCATGTAGAATGATAGTTGTCGTACCATACGATGACATTTTGCGTGAAAGACAGACAGAAGCGACTGACATGAGTTTTACAGGTTTCTACGGCTACTGTAGTCTCTGCTTCGACACTCCTTCGAGGCCAGCCGGACTTAGGCTCCACGCCCCGAAGTCCCCAAACCTCAGTTGCCCGCAGTTCCCCAAAGTCCGTCGTGACGTCGTGAGACTCCTGTGGCCACGTAGAGGCCCTGCAACAAAGTGAAGCTAAGTTCACGTATAACAATACATAAGCCAAGCACAAGAAGCAGTTAATTGCCGTACGATAATACGGAAGAGGAGCTTTGGATCACTTTGCAGATGCAGCGAGCTGCAGCGTGCATTCTCATTGGCAGCTTGGCCATGTCTCTCTCTGGGTTTATGAAATTTCGAGGGTGAGCGCGTTTGAGGGCTGTAAGGCTGACCCTGTCCTGCGTCGTTCACCTATACGGCAAGGTTTACCAGGTTCCAAAAGAGGGAAGCTCCAGGCTGCGAGGAGAGCATTCCCAGAAATGGCCCCTGCTCTGCGGCGCGACAACTTGCAGAGTTGTCCTGTGCCACCTTCGAGCCGCATGAGCAGCAGCTGTCTAGCTATACTTGAAACTCTACCTGAAGGGCGAGTTGCACGATCACGGTCGGCTTTATGCGCGAGATCACAGTCCGTGAGAATGTGTTGGGCAGGAGCCTTCTTGTTGAAGTGGACCCTTGAGTCTAGTAGAGTCTTGTTCAGTCAGGGCCAGGAGCTCAGGGGCAGGGGCAGAAGGGATACTGATGGTTCCACCATGTTCCGGCTTTCTGGGTGCTTTTTACTTTTTCGAACACCTGGACACTCCAAGGCAGAGATCACTATGAGAAGGCCGACAAGCCGAGCACTCAGGGCGAATTCCAGCTCTCATCATCGAAAGTAGATTGGGCAAAACATGCCAACAGCAGAAGCAACCTAATCTCCGACAACAGCATTCATTCTAACTTCTGGTCAGGTGGAAACAGTCGCGGCAGAAAGAGCATCGAGAGAAACGACAACGCACCGGCAGCGCGCTGACAGCAATCGTTGAATCAACAACACGACGAACATGACCACGATACATGGCAAACATGATATTCACTTTTCTGTGCAATTTTGACCTTAGGAGATGGTCGCGCATTTTCCATGTATGACGTTAAGGGTTCTTTCATTGCTATCATCAGTGAATGAGGGTGACTGTTAATTGTGAGATGATTGAGGCAATGCACCGCTTCGTTTAATAGGTGTCCCCTAAAATAGGAGGGTCATTTCTGAAGTTATTTCTAGAGTTACTACGACGATGCCGACGGCGACAGCGGTGCTACCACTGCTGCTTTGTCTCCTGCTACCAAGATTCGTGACAGGACAGCCATCCAGTGGCAGGTGTCGACAACTGCCATTGCCAGCAAAAGCATACTAGCGAGATTGGCAGCCATCCCCAGCTGTTTTTGTTTCTGCGGGCTGCGGTAATGCTGAATTGTCTACTGGCCAAGGTTCCTCCAAAATGTGCGAAGGGTCCAGCCAAAAGACCGGGTGCTGCAGCGCACCGTCGACAGCGGCAAAGCTGCATTCAGATTACTTCCGTTTGATGAATCTTGAAAGCCGCTTTCCACCAAACAGGAGCTGTGGAAGTTGTCCATTTGGTGCAACCGCGGCCTTGCTTCGGACAGTTGCAAAAGTTGCAGGAGTGGTTTCTATAGGTGGGTACGTCAACTGGCCTCGTCAGTTACTCCCGTAAGCAAGGCGTCTCGAGTCAAGTGCAAGCACTTAAGCAAAGTAGAGGACTCTGATACTTAGCACCGTCGTTCCCCTATAACCCGTGTATTTGCAGCAAAAGAATCGGAACCCTCGTTTTATGATGCACGGCCATGTAACGAGGCCCAATCCTAATCACCACAGCACAAGGCATTGAGTTTCTACGCGAACAGCTGAAAGATGTTTCGGCGGGAGACAGCGCGGCCAACACGGAGGCAGGAGCACACATCAAGAGACATTGCCCCAGCAACCGCAAGCTCTAGCTGCTCTGGTCAGGTCTATGTGAATGTCAATGTGTGTCTGTGTAAGTTTAAAGTTGAAATTCAGAGACATGTCTACATGCATGTGTACATAATATAAAAAAGGTAGCATCATGTATGTGTATAGTCTAGAATATAAGATGACAGCTTAACGATTTACTAGTAGTATAATGCAGTACAAGATTAGATAAAAGAACGTAAATAACAATATAAGACGATAAAATGCAATATAATGCAATACACTACTATATAAGATATGATAATATATATATATATATATATATATATATATATCCAAGACTACAGTGTTACATAACATAACCTGGTATAGTACATCTTGCTTTAGGCCACAAGAATAAAGATATAGTACTATATAATGTGAGAAGATATAACATGATATGACTGGATACCGCAGCAAAACCATCATGCGATCTAATATTACAAAGCTTTTAGAACATTAAAATGCAATGCAAATGTGCATTGTGTTACAATGTGATACAATGTAGCAAAACGTAGCATGTTATGCTAGGTGGTAACATAGTATAATATACGATAAGAGTATCATATGCGAAAATAAAGTATATAGTATAATGATATGTAACTTTGTATCGTAGTTTCCCCCCCCCCCCCACACACACACGCAGACGTTTACATACATAAAGTGTATATA